TTTGATAATTTTACACTGAAATATAATATATTTAACTACATATTTTCGTACTGAGTATATTAACTATCAGATACTCATGTTTATTATATAATTTATTGTGCTTGTCGTCATCACGTTGAAACAAGATATTTAAAATGTTTAAAATGATTTCAAGTTAGATTAAATAAAATTGTTATTATAGGATAATCCCAGTAAATTTTGTAATTTGATAAAATGGAAATACTTAATGAACAGTTTTTGACCAAGTTTATTTTGGATTTTTTCATTATAATTCAAAAAAATAATAATCCTAGTGGTTTTTAAATGTCTATAAATGGCTTAATAAGAATAAAAATACTTAGAAAATGATAAAATGTGTTGGAAATTCTAACATTAACATTTGGTGAAATATTCAAAAATAGATACGATTATTCATTTTTGAGTTACACTAAAAAAATTCAAGTTCATAAAATACTATTTGTATGTAAATATTTTTAGGTAATTCAAACTCTAAAATAAATTCTTAACATTCTGATAATATTATAATAATTATTAAAGTACTATTAATTAAATTTAGCTGCTGCATTATAACACCTACGTATTCAATGTATAAACTTAAGGATAAATAAGGCATGATACATTAATACATTAAATTTCCAAATAAATATAAAATAATAATAGCCTAAATCATTTTTGTAAGCAAATTAAGTTTTAAAATGAAGATGTTTAATGCATAGTTAACAGGAAGAGAAATAAATAGTAACACCATTAATCTCTTAAGATTAATTCGCCATTAATGCCATTAAATTCGAGTATACTCACTAAAATATAATAATTAAAACTAATTACTCTTTGATTCTTTATACACTTTTAGATTTTACTTTTCTTTACTTTTGAAATGGACCTTGGCACGATTAACATTTTATTCAGTCCGATAAACAATATATTCCGAAAAATAACAAAGTTAAGAAGTTTATTGTTGAGAAAGTGAAATTAATTTAGTAAGTTTACAGACATCCAAGTAAATATTTTGCAAAGTAATGTATCTTTGTATCTTCGAAGTATGCCTATTTAATTGCAATTTCCATGACTATTAATTTAAAGCATACGCAAGAACATTTGTTATTTTTTCGAGATCAATTAAGTTAAAAAATGTTAGTGAAAAACTACATGTATTGATGTATACGGTACGCGGTATAGCAAATATTTGTATTTCGTTGTCTATAGACTATAATGTATACTCGAGTATATAATATTGTATTATAAATATATATATAAGTTTTTTTTATTTCTTGTGCAATAGATTAAACTGGTATAGTTACTATATATTATAATATTTACCTGTTTAAATGTATCCAGTTCCAAAACAAATCAAACGTGATATTTGTTTTCGAGTTATCGAGGAATACATACTTGTAAATGGGTTTTTCGTTGTAAATATAAAAGTATTTTAAATATTACCATATATACTGCATACATCAAAGTCATCATACAAATATTCAAAACATTTTTATTTATTCATTGTCCATTAGTAAAAACTCGCGATTAGTTAATGAATAGACTGTTTAGTGATTTATGTTTTTCAATAATTAATAAGTGATATTATAGGGTTAAACGTTATTTTTAAAATTATTTTGTTTAATGGCATTTAAAATATAAACAACTTAGATTATCAGTGAAGAGATTGAATCATAATATATTATATTGGTCTTACAATGGTTTTATTTTTTCCATGAACGTTTTTCTCAAGTTTAAAAGTCTTCAAAGAGTTTCAATAATAATAGTAGTATTATAATTTATAACTATACATAAACTAGTAGTACTTTTAAAAATAGAAAATTGAATGTGAATAGTACTTTAAAAAGGTTATAAAACTCAATAAGATAAAATAAGAGCGTGGAAAAACTAACAATGATGACTTTTGAAAATGTCCAATTGATTCGTAAGTTATTAATTGCTATAATATTGAATAATAAACACGTCATCATAATTCATATAATGTACAAAATCCTACGCCTAGGTGAGCAAAGTAGTACAAGAGTGATTTAGATGGATTTTTTTTTTTTTTAACACTGAGACTATAAACATTTACCCATTATTACTATTTATTTTAAATTTTTTTTTGTTAAGTAAGTATACAGAATGATTTAGGAAGATTGTTCATTACTTACTCAATGTTCAACTCCATTTTTCTTTAATAATGCATTTATAGTTTATATATACAGTGTGATCACGCTAAGAGGTAAATATTTTAATATGATGACCTTGTATTGAAATGGAGTTTTCACTGAATGAAAGATAGTACTTAAATACACATTTATTTATGATTTTCAAATTTTTAACACTTTTGGTGTGCGCATGCGCAATACAACTTACATTTTTTTAAATGGAAACACTATTTTTTTTTTTACATATTCGGATAGATTATTTTTTTTCAAACATTTTTTGTATAAAAAGTTTTTTTCTATTTTTAAAACTGACGAAGTTAGAGAAGTCAACATTTGAGTTAGAGCATAATTTGTATGTAACGAAATATTCACTTATAACTACTGGAAATAAAAAAAAATAGTGCCAAATTAATACTTAATTTATCTTATTTGTTTATAAATAATAATTTAATGATATCATACATCGTTCTAATGGATATTACGGGTATGTGTTATAATTTTTATTTAGTTAACTGATATAATACGATTATGATTTTAACTATTTTT